TATGTTATGTTCAGTTATATGTTAGTTATATGTTGTATATAAGTTATGTGTTATGTTCAGTTATATGTTACTTGTTGTCAAAGCTTTAAAGAGCCACTGCAGTCGGACCAAAGAGGCCTCAGAGTTGCAGGTTGAAAACCCCCAGGCTAGTCGTTATAGCCTGGATGAAGACTTTTGCCTAAAGGCCTGGATCTCCTGAAAGACTTTTCTTTCAGTTACAGTTCATCTATTGTAGTTAGCTTCTTTTTTTTTTTTTTTTTCTGGTACATTTCTCCTTTTGCCCTCCATTCATTTTTTTAGCCGTACACCTCACACAACAGTTCTGATGGTCAGATTGGACAGAAAAAAAGAAAAACACAATTAAAGTTCAAATAAAAAGTTTGAAAAAAAAAAAAACCTGAAGAAAGCTTAAATAAATCAAGACCACTTTGAAAAATGATTAGAAAGCCTGGCTCCTAAAACCAAACAAGCGATAGAAATGTATCTGTTTTTGTTTCGTTTTTATATAATTTCTTTGATTTACTTTTCATTTGCTTTTGGTGTTTGTGTGTTGTCCTCATCTGTGTTCTTTGTTTAAAACAGGTCTCTCTCGTAAATGAGTCCTCGGGCTCAATGAGACTAACCTGTAGAAATAAAGGCTTACTGAAAAATAAAACTTTGACAGCATGACATGTATCCTTGAGATACTGGGTCTGAACAACATATCCAATGGTATTGTTTGCATTATTGTGATTATCTATAGTCACAATAATGATTATACTACTACTATACTACTATACTATACTATCGCCTTTCTATCTCGATAAGATAGAAAAACGCTATATAAGTACAGTCCATTTACCATTTACTATAAACGCACAATTACAGCAGTGTTCAAATAATAGTACTTTTCTGAGTTAAACTAACTTCTGTTGTGCTTTGGTGCTGAAATGTCTATGGCTGTAAAATATCCATCCATCCATCCATCCATCCATCCATCCATCCATCCATCCATCATGTCCTTGTGGTGGGGTTAGTCTCTCACATACGACCGGAAGCTTTCTTCTTCTTCTCTTTTTTTTTTTTTTTTTTAAAGTGGACACGATATAGATCCTATTCCGACATATCAGATAGTCGTTTAAGGTCGTGCATCGATCTGCGCGTGTCAGGTTACCCTCATGCCTGTTCTCCAGCGGTGCACGGTCGCCCTTAAATGATCTGTATTCTGCACCATCACTGTCCATTCACAGCGGCGGCTTTTTGTGGAGTCTATCAATTATGATGGCAAGCCAGAGGATGATGATGATGATGAAGATATGGACGCATCAAGAAACCTTGAATAAACCTGAAGTGTTTTACTGAAAATGGCACCCCCCCCCCCCCCCCTTTTTTTTTTATTTCTCACTCAGATGGCAGTTTTGGTGTTATTCCAGTAAGAGGGAATCAGCCCCTGCAGTTGTCTGCCCTATAGATACACCTCACCTTCCTCAGAGCAGAGCACGATGGTTACACCTTTTGGATGAAATAATGATGATAATAATACATTTGAGACAATAAAGCCTCGAGGAGAGTTGGGGGAGAAGATCCTCGACTCAGTTTCGCAGGCAGGGAGGGAGAGGAGCAGCTCTCCTCCTCGTCCATTAATTTCCAAACGTCTGTTGCTAAGAATAGCCCCCCCCCCCCCCCCCCTTCCACCTTAACAAACAGACATTTGCGCGCTCGCCCTTTGACGCGCATCCACGTGAGCGCGCAGTCAATGTCAGCTTGCAGCTGCAGCATCTGGTTCTTAAAACATATATATTTATTAAAAAGTGTACACACTCGGCTATTATTGCGCCTCGCTGAGGTTCTGGGCGTCTGAGTAAAAAAAAAAAAAAAATGGGCGCGGTTAGAACGGTGCGTGCAGCCCCGTGCCACAAACACAAGCGCGCGTCTAGAAGTTGCACGAGCTTCCGTGCGTCATGAGCACCCGATCCATTCATTTGATGCCCAGCTCCAGAGCTTAAAGGAAACGGTCCCTTTCATTTTCCTTCCATCCGTCCGTTTGTCCTCCTCCTCCCCTGAGGCTGCTGGATGTGGAGAGAGGAGGCCGTGAGGAGCGCACCATACTCCAATGAGAAAGGGAGAGAGAGAAAGAGAGAGAGAGAGGACGCTCTCCCCCAGCCAGGACATTTGGGCTCCTCGCTGCGGACCGGAGGTGGAGTCTCGGGGCGGGGATGCTGATGAGGGACTTCAGGCTCTGCTGCGCCTCGAATCCGAGCTCACGATGAGAGGCTGCGAGGCGGTGGAGCAGCGACCGTCATCACCATCAGCATCATCAGCATCACTATTATAGCGTCCCTTCTTTTCTTTTCTTTTTTTTTTCTCCTCCTCCTCCTCCATCTTCCTCCGCTCCTGGATTACTGCCGCGAAGGTGAAGGACTGAAGACGATGGAAGGATGCCAGTAAATTAATTTCAAAAGGATGACACCGACCTTTGGACGGGAAACGGTATTTTATATATTTATACATTCACCACCTTTACTTTCCTTTTTTTTTTTTTTTTTCACCTCTATCAGTTATTTTTAAAATGAGACTCTCGAATTGCACACGGGAGGGTTTAGCTGCTGTCTGTCAGCGCGCGCGCCTACAGCAGCTGTAGCCACATCCTGCTGCCGCTCCGTGTCAAACATTGCGGATGTTCCTTAAATAAATAAATAATTGTAGCTCTTCCTCGTTCGTCCCCCCCCCCCCCCCCAAAAAAAAAAAAAAAAAAACCTTTTTTGAGTCTGTTTCACCCCTTCAGAGTCACAAGCTGTTATTAAAGCATCCATTAATTAATTTTAACTAGCCCCCCCACAGATGAAGCGTTTGGTGAGGTGCAGGGGACATCCTGGCGCGCTCTGATCCAAGCATGCAGAACATGAAAGATTCATTCTGACTCCCCATGGTTTCATGTTTTTCGGGGGAGGGGGGGCGACTCCTGCCTCATATGGACTGAGACACCCCGGTGAGGGGCAGCCAGCCGAGAGGACCACACAGCTCCACGCGCAGAGACGAGCGCATATGGGCGTCCTCGTCTGCTGAAAAACCCAAGAGGATCTGTTGTGGGGGGGAGACCGTGGTGGGTGGGGGGAATCCATCAGCAGTTTTTGTATTTTTGATTTGATTTGATTATTTTTTTTACAAACACGTCCGGGTCCAGTTGAGATGTAATGTTGTGTGGCCACACAGCTGAGCACGGGTCTCCTTCTTCTGCGCTGCTTCGTGAAGCTTGGAGTCCAAGATCGGCGGGCACGGAATGGCGCGGTTTGGAGATGAGGTGCCGGCCAGGTACGGCGGCGTCGGCGGAGGGGGCCCCGGCGGAATGGGGCCCGGGGGCCGCGGCGGCAGCAGGCAAGGTGGACCCCACGGACACGGGCACGGACACGGGCACGGCGCGCACGGCCCGCATGGCCACGGACCACCGCACGGAGGGCCCGGGGCCCAGCGGATGTACAAGCAGTCCATGGCGCAGAGGGCCCGGACCATGGCCCTCTATAACCCCATCCCCGTGCGCCAGAACTGCTTCACCGTCAACCGCTCGCTGTTCATCTTCAGCGAGGACAACTTCGTGAGGAAATATGCCAAAAAGATCACCGAATGGCCATATCCTTTACCTGGCGCTGTGCGCGCGGAGTCTAAATGTAGGCCCGCAGGTGAGTCTCATGTGGAATAGTTCCTCTCTCCTACCTGTATGCTGTGCTGCAGGCTTTACATTACATAACAGAAGTGTAACAAGCAGACCCTTTATGAGAAAAGGCTGCCTGTGCAGTGTAGTGTTTGGTTAATGGGGGGGACAACAACCTCCAACAATCTTTGTGTGTAATTTCATGTCCAACAGGACTTGCTTGATGTAACTGACTGAGAAGTGTAGTGATTGTGTGGTGGGGAAAAGGGTTGGAGGTGTGTGTGTTGGTGGTGGGTGGGGGGGGGGGGTCTAGGGGGGGCCTTTGGTTGCTGATGTCAGCATGTGCAGCAGGCCCAGCGCCTTTCCAGAGAAACAGGAGGAGAGGAGGGAGAAGGCAGAAAATAGGCACACACAATATGTCTGACTGTGTGTGTGTTGTAATGCACACACACACACACACACACACACACACACACTCCTATCAGCCTGATGCAGGTGTCTTCATATGGCTTGACTGTATGTACACCTAATTTATTTATTTTATTTATTTTTTTACACCCTTTCCCTCCTCTCGCCACATTTTGAGGCGTCTGCGTTTAATCACACGCGCTGCAGGTGCCACCGAACGAACGTGTCATCACTTCTGAGTGCACGAGGGTGCACGTTTCCCGTGCATTAAAATAGTGTCATAAACCTGCAGCATTTGCACATCCCTTGAAAGGAACAGCAGGACTTTCATCTCTGTGGCGCGTGTGCAGCTGAAATGAGTTCCTCCGTGGATGTTAATGACAAGAGGGGAAACTGGAGTAATGAATGTATGGAGCTCTGCTGATAGCTGCACACGCTAACTGGCCTCCTCTGGTGGAACATGGGACTTAAATGTTGCCTGCGTCGCCATGTAAAGGACACATGTGTTTGACGTGGGAAACAAGTTTGTGCAGGGGGTTTGATCTTGAGTCCAGGTTTTCTTGATTGAAATATGTGCATCAGTCTAAAAGAATGCAAAGCTAGAATGAGAGGCGTGTTTGAATTGCAGCTGAAATATTTTTTAAATTATTATTATTCGCAATTTGCATTTGGGAATAGGCACAAAAGAATAATAACGACTGAAGACTTGAAGGAATTCATTTCACATATGTGGGAATGGTGGCACAGAGGTTAGAGAAGGTGGGCCTGTGATTGGATGGTCAATGGTTCAATTCCCCATACAGATAACATCAAAATGGGGGGGGGGGGGGGGACATCCACACCTGCCCCACTCTGGGCCCTTGAGCAAGGCTCTTAACCACCATCCGCACCCCCGGGCGCCCTAGATGGCAGCTCCCGGCTCCACACAGAGGGCTGTGGTAGCTCGGTGGTCTGTGGCTGCATCAGGAAGGGCATCCAGCGTAAAAACAATTGTCAGGTCTTCGTGCGAGTTAGTTCGCTGTGGCGACCCCTGAAGAAGGGAGCAGCCGAAAGAAGAAGAAAAAGTTGGATTTCTGTGGGAAACATTTTGCATAAGACCCAAATGTAGTTTTTGTTGTTCTTCAGAACGTGTGCATAAATTACTATTAACTTTTTATCTCTCTCTTTTTAACTGGTAAAAAAAATATTGAATTGCATTTGTTTGCCTTTATTTAACCAGGAAAAACTCATTGAGATCACAGATCGCTTTTGCAAGGGAGGCCTGGGCCTGAAGGCCGCCTAACATGCATGTTGTTTTGGACCATCTATCTGGACAGAAGCCCTAAAACAAAGACTGCAAATATGATGTAAAGTCTAAAAAAGCAGAAAGTAATAGAAAATAAACATCAAGGGGCATCTGGTCAAAGGCCTTAACAAATCAAAAAGAGTTTACTAACTATATTATTATCACATAGTTTAAACATTAGCATTTCTGTGCTCATGGCAGGACTAACGTACATTTTTGTGGGGGGGATCATTTGTGCTGAACAAAATATTCAAGTCAAATACAAATGGACATCTCCCACTGATTAACTTTTGGAGTCAACCCCATTCAAGATGGCTGCCACAGCTAATTAATCTTAGCAAATATTAAAAAAGTATCTTTAACTCAGTCAGCTTTAAAAATACAGAGCTACAATTGGTGCGGCAGTAGCTGAGAGTCATCCCATCACACATAATGCACATAAAGAGATGATGCAATAAAATGATGAACATGCCCACGTCAGCTTATTGATTTGTTTGTTTTTAAGTTGGTGACATTAACGTTAAAAAATGCTGGATTTAATTTAAACATGTAGGAACACCAGCTGCCAGAGCTCAAACTGCACAATATAATCATACTGCTGCCTTCTGAGGACAGGGATGGGAGGACAACCTGAAGAAGTGGCCACATATTACATCTATTAGCATATTTAGCTACTTCATTGACTCAGTTCTTCCAATGGTGAAGAAATGAACAACCTGAAAAGCTCTGAACATATAAGTATCTACAGACAGAGTCCAGCCATAGCCTTAAAGTCCTCCATCACCCAGCTTGGGTTCATTGCAGAGAAAATTTTAATCCCGAAGATGAACAAATACTATAATGCTGTGCCCTTCATACACTTGCAATCATACCTGACATTTTTGTCACACTGTTTTCAATCCTTCGGAGGATCTGGCGTCTCTTCTCCGGTGGTTTATCATAACCCAGTCTCAAAGAAGGATGCAGGTTTTCCTCCATCGCCCATTTGTCAACAAAGTGAAAAAATTACACATTCAGAGTTTTGGGTGGTTTTTTCAAGTTCAGATTCTGCAGCCACATTCTTCTTAATTCCTCATCTGTAGGTAGGTGATGGAAACTATACCGCTTTTCACAGGAACACTCCTTTTTTGGGGGGGGATTCGTGTTCAAAACACTGTTGTTGTAGCCACTGATTTAGTTTGGTGTGGTTGTTCGTGCAGCCGCGAACAGAACAACAGGCACCTGAACTCTGCAAGGCTCTTTTAGTGAACTTTATGGTTGTTAAATAAATTTAAACAAAACAAAAACAGTGTTTTGTCTGCTAAACTGAATGCAAATTATTTTCAAATAAACTGCGGTCTGTAATCCGCTACCATGGTTAACCAAAGCTTACTGCTGCTTCCTGTCTGACAGGAAGTTGTACTCATATGCAGTAGAGCCCCCAGGAATAAGGTGGCTAGAAATTGATTTTCAGTATTTGAATTTGCTCGCTGTGGTAACCCCTGAAGAAGGGAGCAGCCAAAAGAAACTCACTTTTCTCTACCAGCTATTTAGCAATCATTACTGGGAAGGCATTAGTTTTATTGCAGATTTTCTTAAAGTAATGAATCCAAATGTGAGCTAAGAAGGTTTTATTGGGTATATCTATCGCTGGGTTGGTGTCTACAGACATTGTGACCTGCATTTTTTGTTGTAGACTAAAGTATTAATTTACCTCTTATGCTGATAGACCCTCCTATTTTGTCCTTCTTCATCTTTTAATTAACATTGACAAAATTGTGTCCCTCTGTTATTTAAGTTTAGTGTCAACAGTTTCCCTTACCCATTAGTTAGCTGGGTATACATCCCCTCAGACCAGCACAGTTTGTGAAATGTCAGTAAAAGTGGTCAGAGTTATTTACTGCTCTGCAACAGAATCAAATCAAAGAGATGGACGTCTGTCAGTCAAAGGTTGTATGATGAGGTGTTCAACATGATACTGCATTGGAATGGCTGATGAGATGCTCAAAAACTAGATGATGCAACCAGCGAGGAAATGTTGATAAATGAGTTATTATGTCACATATTTAAAATATACCCCTCCCATCTCTGTAGATATCTTACTGGCTTTTGACTCCACCTGCCTTTCTGATTTAATCAGTGCTGATATTGGAAAAAAAAAATTACATGTTTTCCACAGTTTAGGTCTTTGCTGGCCATCAAATGTATGTCTTTGTAATGTACACAGTCACATGTCATGCAACCTCACACAAACACACTGCATGTGCACCATATGGTGTTGTCTGCGTCATCAGCATGCACTTAAGTGCTTTTTCCCCTGATGCTGTAAATGGAAAGGAAGTCGATATGAGTTCTAACTATAGCCTCACTGGGCTCAATATGAAATACAAAACAAACGTCTTGAGTCACCCCTCCCTCATTTCTTTAGGTTTTGTGCTCCAAAGAGTTTTTGTAGTTCTCCACGCTTCTCAAAGCTTCTTTGGTTGCTTTACTTGTTTTCTTTGCCAGTTATTATCCACATCTGAAACCATCAATAGAAAAAGGTCACACAGTTCAACTGATACAATCAATACCATTGTGAATGAATACAAAGAACCGTGCACATATGCACAGTTTGTTACAATTTCTTCAGGTTCATCTTCAAAAATAAAAAAAAAGGCCACAAATAACCTTTCAGGGTGGACCTGAGCAATGCATCATCCTTCAGCTGGTCCATCCACCCATCCATCCATTATCTTTGCCCGCTTCTTCCTTTTCAGGTCACGGGAGTCACTGGTGCCCATATCCAGCAGACTGTGCGAGAGGCTGGGGACACCCTGGACAGGACACAAGTCCATCACAGGGGCACATACAGACAAACGAGACAACCATTCACTCTCTCACTCATAGGGACAATTTAGAATTACCACTCATAACATGCATGTTTTTGGTCTGTGAGAGGAAAATGGAGTCTCCAGAGGAAACCCACACATGCATGGAGAGAACGTGCAAACTCTACCCAGAAAGGCCACCGGACTGGGATTCGATCTGGAGACCTTCTCCCTGAGAGGTGGCAGATCTACCAACTTTGCCTCTGTGCCGCCATCACAAATCTTACGAGGAATCCAAATCTGAATTTTTAGGTCTAAGTGTCAGCACTGTCTCCACCTTATTCCTGGGGGCTCTACTGTATAAATGGTTATGGGTGCAACTTCCTGTCAGACACAGGAAGTAGCAGTAAGCATTGGTTAACCATGTTTTATTTGAAAGTAATTTGCATTCAGTTTAGCAGATAAAATGCTGATTTTATTTTGATGACATTTATTT